GTTGCTGGCCCAACACATCTTTAGAGATTTCCCCATCGTGAGGGTAGTCCCGCGTGATGTCTTATTAGTACGCTCTCCGGAACGTGCGGCGCTTTCGCAGAGTGGGTGTCCCGATCTCTGAGTTTTCAAGTGTACTGTGGGACTCACGGATTCACTCCCGTTGTAACACCCTCTGTCTTCCCAGCCCCGCAGTTTGGGGGATCTTGGCCTCAGCTGCTGCATCTCTGCTCCTCCCTCTTTTCCTCCTCTGTGTTTTCCTCCTCCTCCACATTCTACTATTTCCGCGCTGGTAGCGGTGCTAGGGCTGGGCATACTATATCCTTGTGTTGCTGCAGCAAGATTTCAGCACGCCCATCAGTCCGTTTCATACCTTACTGCTTTTTGTCTAAGCTAGATATTTTTACAGAACTTAGGATGAGGTTGCTTATATGTTCCCAGGGGTAGCAAAATGTCTGATCGTTTACTGCTTCTCTATGCACTGTAAATACACGCACTGGCTCAACACGGTGAATGTAATCATTACATTCTGCGAGCATTTACTAATAAAAAATTGGGCGTATCTCATGTGAGAGCTATGGAACTTTGAATCATCTAACAAAAGTCTTCCTTTCCTTTTTCAGTTTTCTGGAAACCCAAAAATAAAAATTTGAGGTGTTATTGCATGGCAATTGCCTCCTTTATAATCAGAATATTGAGCATTAAAATGTACACGATCTCGGGACAATAAATACCTCTTCTTTTCTGGACATTAAAAAGGAGAATGTAGTTTTTAGACAGATGCATCATCAGAAGACTGGGACAGGGATGCGATTTAGCCTTAGAATTCTTCTGGATTGGCACTTTAGAGTTGGAAATCACTGTCTTTGTTTATTCATTTCTATCTCTCATGTAATAACCAACTATACGAGAAATTCTTTCACTTGTCTCCCAGTTTACTAGGACTAGCTACTACAGGAACGTATAAAAATTCCTAGTGAGAGCTTGGTGTGGTGCACCTGTAATCCCAGCACTCTAGGAGACTCAGGCCAAAGGGTCACAAATGAGAGCAGAGTGAGTCAGTGACACAGACGTTATAAAAACACATGATAAAGGGCTGCGGACTTAGCTCAGTGAGAAGGCTCCGGGTTCAACCCCAAATACCACAAGAAAGCACAAGTACTGCTGGGAACTGTCCTTGGTTAAGTGTTGGCATAGCTTGGATACTGTAAGTAAGAGTAATTCTTAAGTGTGGACTCTCCAATATTTTCTGAAAACCCTACTAGGTATCATCATTGGGAAGAATCAGAATCTTGTATTTAGGTTCTTTTATTAAGCAGTTTAATTTTTAAAATTTGTTTTATTCTAAAAATTAAAAAGCTAACAAAACAACAATGAAGATAAAATGAAAACATAGAAAGAATGAAAATGACACATGACCTCAAAATGATATGATAAGGATTAGCAATGGTTGCTACATTACACACTCTTACCTTCAATGAAGTTGCTCAGTCCAACCAGACATAAGAATGTAAGATTGATCAAACAATCAAAGACAGTAACAAGTAATAAAAAAAACCACTGGAAATGACGCAGAGCTTCACCATACGAGATGGTAGGAGTTCAACAATGGTTCTTATACTGCATATTATTTTCAGGTCAGCCATTCTGATTACCAAATTCAAGAGTGCAAAATTGGTCAAGAAAAAGGAAAATTTTAAGCACTTACTGTTCATTTCAATAAACCACAGACATCAGCAATACACCTATCCCAGCTATCCTTCTATATACATATAAATTTTGTTTTTCATTTAAAAAAACTCCAAATACCAAAAACAAATACATAAGCAAAACAGCATAGAGAACAATAAAAATGATGCAGAATTTCAAAACATGGTGATAGGATATTAACAATGCTTGTTATAGTACATAATGTCATCTTAAGCAGTTTAATATTAACTAAAATATAACAGTATACTAACCGTACAATTCATTATCTAGAATGTACTATAACTTGTAATATTGTGAAGATATAGTAGATACCCATAGTTCAGTACACTTTTTATTCTTTAAAACATTTTACCTCGGGTTTTAGATACTGTCTTACTTTCCTGTCGTGGAGAAATAATACGTGACACCCATGCATTAAAGGAGGACACATTTATCGTGACTCACAGTTTGTAGAGGTCTCAGCGCAGAGTCAGCTCGTTCCAAGACGGGGTGGCGTGAAAGAGAATTAGCTCGCGGAGTAGCCCCCAGGAAGCAGAGCGCAGTTAAGGAGGAGGGAAGCAGGTAGATGTTGCTAGGTCATGCACTTAGTGACCCGCGTCCTTCCAAGCACGGCCAGGTAGAAGCTCATCCGGGGACGGACCCACTGAGGAATATCACGCCTTCACGATCCAGTCACCACCCGCATCCGCACCTGCGAGCACAGGAGGCTTTGGGGGCAACCAGCGATAAGCCGTAACAGATACCATAGTCGAGAATACTGGTGAACCCCTACCATCTTGTCTAGTGAAACGCTGCATTATCTCTAATGTTTTATCTAATAATATTTTTTATTCTCTTTAATGGTTTGAACGGTCTTCCATCCTTGCATCTGGTAATCTGAGCAACATAGTTGAGGATAGCGATATGTAATATAACAGCCACTGCTACTTCCTATCATTTTGTTTGGAAACCCTGTATCACTTTTAATGTTCTTGCTTTGTTTTGTTTGTTTGCGATGTTGGTATGCTGCTATTGTTCTTTTTTTTTTATTACTCTCTTTAAAATAAAAATGAAAAAAGAATACATTTGTAGAAAAATAATGCATTATGATGCTAATCCCCTTGCACTTGCAAGATAAGTGTTTCGTAGGGATGAGTTCTGTGTGCATGCATGTACTTTGCCACACTTGGGCTTCACTACTTTTTCATTTAACTTCTGCTTTAAATGTGAGTGGGATACAGTGAACAAAAGGAGGTGGTGGTTTCCTATGACTATCAGCACTCTCGTACACTTTTACTGTGGTTTTCTAAGCTCCTTACTCTTGTCCACAAGTTCAGGTAACTCTAAGAACAGCCCCTTAGCCCGCCTCTTTCTCCTTTTCCCTCATGAAAAGGCAAGACTGAGAGTTTGATCTGCCTGGTAACCCAGGAAGCTGTTCCTTAGCCTTCTGTTGCTACGAAAGTATACCTGAGGTGGTTGATTTGAGGAAAGGAAAGGTTGATTTCTGGTTCACGGTTTCAGAGTGTTGGGCACTAGTGCTCTGGATGGGGGTAGCACAGTCCATAGCAAAGGGAGGTGGGCTGTTCAGGTCACTGCGTCCGGTAAGCACAAGGAGACAGGGCAAGGGCCGGGTTCGTGGTACTCACTTCCGGGAGAACACCCCCATGACTTAACTCTCTCCTACTAGGCCCCACCTCCTAAATTTCCCATCTCTCCAAAATTCCACAGGATGCAGAACGAACCCTAACTCAAGCCATGGTGCGAATCCTGAACAGACTGGATGAACGTAAGAGGAATTCTGTGTCCTATGAAGACAGTGTGTGAGTACCAAAGAAAACCGGCCCATGTGTTTCATATTAACATAAAATTCCATATACAGTAAGGTTTGAAACACTGAGAGTAGGGTTCAGAATTTTAAAAGATCATGTTATTTTTCAAAATGTGAATACTGTATGAATATGGCATAGTTAGTATATTTCACTAATTTGAGCACTGTCATGAAGTTTTATTGTAATATCTTGTTTCTTTCAAAATAGACTTCATTTTTCATTGAAGCATCAATTTTTCATTGCTTTTTAATTAGAGTTTTAAAATGTTTTGGATAGATACCTGAAATTCTTACGTGATGTCCCATGAACTTGAATTTGATCCACCTAACAACCAGTATTATTTTTAAAAACAGAGAATATCATTGTTAGGATCTGCTGGATTAATTGTCACGTCAGACTCTATCGCACACATTTTCCAAAAAAATCTCATATATCTAATCATAGTGACTCTCTTGGCAGAAACTTTTACATTTATTTTATAGTATGCATGCTCCTATTTTATTAAAATTCACAGCTTCTCAATGATTACTTTTCATAATTAAATAAAGATGCTCCTAATGCCCCACCCTGTGGAGAATTCATTATTGTGCCAGTGGAATGAGGATGGATGGCTAGAGTTCGTGCATTAGAGAGCTCCAAGAATCTCTTAGAAAATTCTGCTGCAGCCACCTTTTACCACCACCAAATGGTCTTTTCTAGTTCTGTAATATGTAGCAAATTTCACATGAGGCTTTTGCGGACTGTCTGTGGCTTCTTCATCTGGGGCTAAAATGTTTGTTGCCTTTGCAATTTGCACTGATTGCTTAAGAAAAGAATGGTTTGTTTTGCAAAGGCTGCTTTTAGTTTAGTGGGTTCTGTGCAGGGTTAGCTATGATGCCTTCATTTTGTGGTGAAGGTTCAGACTGTGTTTCTTGGAGGCATTTATTGCATTCTTACAAATTACACATATTGTAGAAAGGCTCTTTTACCCATACATGGAGATAGGACACACTTGGTATTTCATCAAGCGAAGAACCCGGTGAAAAAGTTCATATCACTCTGTCAAATAAAGAGACATGGTGGAGGCCAGAAGAAATGAAGAAATCCTTTCCGAAAGTCTGTTTTCCAAGTATTAGGGCATTAGCATATTCTAAATTAGTTTTGTTGTACTTAATGTTGTTTTGAGATCCCTGACAACTTCAGGAAGAAAATCAACATTTCTGACTTGTGTTGTGATAAATAGAAATGAGGTACACTGTCTATATTACATGATGTATAGTGTAGGTTGGGTAGTATTTTCATTTAGGTTTAAGTACAGTTTTTTTAAAAGGAGTAATTTTGCATCTGTTTTATTGAGAAGAAAACTGAGCCTCTAATATTTAACTAATTATCATCTATTCACTTTGTTATGTTCCATGAACTTCCCCAAAGCAATTACTCCAATAAATTTATGTTGTCAGTTTGAGAATTCCTTTTTATTTCTTATTTTTGTAAGCAGTTTTCTAAATAGTTTTACTTATTAAACTCCAAAAACTAAATAATAAATCCAGGTCACAAAAAATGTTTCATCATCCAAATTGTCAAATTTGATAGCAGTGACCAGATTGGTGTTGGATGAGTTGTACAATTGCTTCTTCCTGGGAGAGAAAGAAAGATGAAGATATTTCAAGAAAGATTAGAAGGGTAGCAAAGAAGAAGGAAAGAAAAAAGTTAAAGCCAACACTTCAACATTTGGACAATTGCCTTTTAATTTAAGTCTGTCAGCGGTGGCATCTTATCTCTGATCAAATAAAACATTCTTCCCCAGATAATTATTGATAGGGGCTAATGAACCAAAATAACCTTCATTCATTTTTGCTGACAGGGTAATAGCCATGTCCTCTACATTTTTCCAGTAACTTCTCTTATTTTTATGTTTGCCCAATTGCCTTCTAATTAATTTTCCTATCTCTTTCCCAACTATGCTGTACCTTGACAGCAAGGATTGTGTGCTTTTTGCAAATTCATATTTCTGTTCTTCGTTGTGGGGACATAGCTCTATTTTTAGCACATATAATTTGTAACACAGAATTTATACAAAAAATATTGATTGAGTGGATGTATTTAAATTCAATACTGTAATGATAATTTCAGAAGCTGCACTAGGTTTTCCCTGAATACCTACATCTAATATTTCTACCTGGCACTGAAAATGTAAATTTTTAAAGGAATATTAGAGTCCCAAAGTTGCTGGCAGAGAACTAGTCTTTTTGAACCAGGTGTGGTGGTGCTCACCTGTAATCTCAGCACTGAGGAGGCTGGGGTAAGAAGATTGCTGGGTTTGAGGCCACCCTGGACTACATAGTTGGACCTCATCTCAAAACAAAATAAAATAGGATTTTTCAGTGAAATTCGTGGTGGTGGTATTAATGATGCTGACGATAATGAAGATGTGACTAGTGATATTGCTGAAATTTATGTCATCATCAACGGCTTCATCCTTCCTACCACCACCTGCTAAGAGGACTACAATGAAGCTGAAAAATCAAAAGCACTACATAAAAAATTGCAAATGATAATTAAAATAAGTTAAAGATCATATATAAACCGAAGGTAGGGAATGTGGGATTGACCTTATGAAGAGCAGTATGTCTATTTCTGCCTTTCAATGGCTCAGTATTCTTGGCTTCTTCCCTTAGCCTCTTTCAGTTTTACTATTTTTAAAACAAGGGAAATAATAATTCCTACCTATATTTATTCTAAGAATTAAATAGTTGATCAATAGTTTTGAAAGAGTTTTTTAGAGCTTGGTTATTAAGTGTGTACCTATTAACTAACATGCCTGTAATTCTCACTCCAGAGCTGTCAATAGATATCGTTTAGTTACTAGTTCTCTGGAAGCCTGCATCTCCTCTTTTAATCTGAGCTTAATTCATTATTAACCTCATTAAGGAGATTGAAATTTAATTCTTAGTATGATGAGGAGCATGGAGCAGCACACAGATTTTAAGAGATTATATTCAACTTTCTAATCCTCCGCTTTCCAGCTTCTGATAAATTCATCATCATCGTTAGCCTCACACTTCCAGAGACCATCCTACGTTACTACCCGCTCTCCGACATTGTTCCATCTCCCTGAATGGGAGGAGCACAAAGACCTCTATAAAATGGCCTTCCACACATTTGGAGCAGAATTGTGGAACACATATGAGGTGGAAATTAAAAATTAAATATCTGTTACTAGTATTCTAAACAAAGAACAAGCATGACTTCTCTGTACCCTACAGGAGTTTTCTTGCTTTTCCTGCCTTCAGATGCTGGCTGCTGTCTCCTGTCTCTCTCTCTGCAGGAGCTGATCCTCTATTTCGGTTCTCTTCTGCCAGCCCTGGTCTCCCTGCCTTCCTTCTCAGGCATGAAGAACTGTATTTATTAAACTGCTCACAAGCGTAACTAGTTCTTTCGTCTAAATCTGTTTAACTGGACTCTACTTAGAAAACATTTACTTTTCAAAACTGCACGGGCCAAGGTCTTGTTTCTTTATTTTTGCCTAAAAGGAAGAAATGTTCTATCTCCATATGTAATGTGACTTATCTCTTGTGTGAACTTTTACTAACTGAACACAGTGTTTAGAGTAATATTTCTTTATTTGGCCTGAATACATCAAATATTTCAGGCAAGAAATACAAATGACTCTTCCATTTTCTGTTCCACATAGTTTAATTTTACCTTACTTTTAGAATAAAGTCAAAATGCATAACTTTTTAACTTATGGACTGTTTATTCAGTACTTACTATGCTCTGCACTGACACATAAAATAGAATTATTGTAAAAAATACTACATGATTTTGAAACCTTGTAGTAACCATAACAAAAAGGGGATATAGTTAAAAATTAATTTGAAAATATTTTTGAGTTCAATATATGCAAAAATATATTTAATCATATGATATGTGTAAAATGTAATGGCAGATTTTTGTTCCTTTTCAATATTATGTCTTTGAAATCTGTTGTGTATCTGAGTTCCCACTGGCTCATTTCAGAAGAAGCTACAGTGACTTCAGGTTAGAGTTTACTCCACAGCCCTAGAATAGTTCTCCATTCATGTGAGGGTCACATGTCTCACATAATTCTCACAAAAGCCTGCTTATTAATTCCATGTGACATATAATGAAAACACACAGAAGTTAATTACATTGCTTAAAGCCATACATCCATGTTAAAGCCAGAAATTTAATTTAGGTCTCCGTGACTAGAGCATCTTCAGTCTTAACATGATGCCCCTGTTTCTGTGTTTTACTTCACTGTTGTTAATGTCTGACAAAGTCTTTGGTAAAATTCAGAGTTAGGTATGCCTCTGTCTCTTTTTCACTGCTGTGTGAATTTGGTAAAGAATGCTGAATTGACATATCTGTGGACTAAAATGTTTTTGTGGTCAGAATGTTATTATAAGAATGGGTTTAGGTTGCATAAGCACATGCTGTTCTTTTGAAAGGATGTACCTTAACAGTGCCCCAAAGGGATTTCATCCGTGCAATTCTTGGCCCTTCGATGAAATCAATCAAAAAGGGGACTGATTTGTGGGTGGAAGTGAGGCTGAGCTCACTGGAGCGCCCACCACAGTTTAGTAATTACTGGTTTCATGTTAATTTGAAGAATCAGTTGTATCTAGTGTCAATATTCCTTCCAAGTTAGTTATGTTCTAGTCTTTAAAAAGAGAATGAATAATATTTTGGGGGGTAATTAACTCTGCTGGCAAAAATAATCCTTTGAACATTTATCTTAATTCTTCTGTTCATAGTGGATATTGGATATTTCATGTTTTCATGAATATTTGTTTATGATTTCACCAAAAATTTCTGTTGAATTTTTTAATATTCTCATTTGGCTTTATAAATCCCAATACATCTACGTTTTTCTACATAAAGTGCCAAAAATATTTCAAATAAAGCCAAAGATATCTTAACGGGCATTCTCACGAAGGGACTGCAGTGGGAAGCAGTCTCCTCAGGCTACCCGTGAGGAGTGGAAGCTGAGGGCCACCCCTGTCTCAGAAGCCCGTTGGTGAGGGAGGCGACGGGGGCTTCAAGTGGGTCCAAGCAGCACTCTGCAGAGGGGGGCTTTTCTGGTAAACCGTTCCTTCCAGATTTCCTAGAGTTCTTCTGTTTGCATCGTGCCCGCTGACATGTGGGGGCACTTGACGGTTTTCCGTGTGAAGCTGGTAGATACACTGAAAGGCTGGGTGACATCCGCATATCCCTTCTGCTGACTGGCTTCATGGGAAATGTGTGTAGTTTACAGAAGGCGGAATGAGTTCCATATGTTCACCATGAAGGCTGTCCATGTGTATACGGCGAGGGCTTTCCCAGTGCTTGTATTTAATTTCTACCCAAAATACAGGCTTTTAAAAAACCCTTACCACACCAAATGTGGGTCTGCATAATTCAGAATGCTTTCCTCTGTGAATCACACATTGAGAAAAAGAGAGCTCCACACACAAAAACTATTAATTTTACTTTTGTAGGAAAAAAGATGTGTGCTCGTGGCTGCACGCGCCTGTGTGTTAACAAACGTATGTTCAAGCTTTGGTGTTGCCTCCGCCGCTGGTTTCTGGGCTTTGCTATTCTCCTTCTGTCTGGGAAGGCCAGTCAACCAGCTATACAGGGCTTTGCTGTCCATATGCCGTAAGTGTGCCCTCATTACTCAGCTGCCGGATTTAAAGTTTCAAAAAGTAAGATTGCCAAGACTGTCTCTTTGGACTAGGCTTATCAGCCTGAAAGCCGGCAAGATGCGAACTGATTGCTCCGTCCATGTCCTGGCCGAGTGAGGTCTAGCTAAAGACAAGCTCTGCGCAAGAGGTAAGACTGAAAGACACTGATGATGGCTCGGGCAATGGGAGAAGGTAAAGGGAAGCAGGTTTGTGTCAGTCAGAGTCTCTACACTAGAACCCAATACTTGAGACGCTCGGTGTGAAGGAGAAAGACCGATTTTGGCACGCAGCTTCCGCCCAGCTTAGGCGCGACCGCTTCAGGCCTGCGATGAGGCAGAGGCAGGGAGGAGACGCACGGAAGCGCGAAGGCACTTACCGCACGGTGGCCGGGAAACAGAGAGAAGTGGGAAGAGTCACCAAGGAAGGGGATGGGGCAAAACCCCGTCCCCCAAGGGCACATCCCCTTGACCCGCCTCTGAGGTCTTCATCACCTGCCAGTGACGTCATGGGGACGTAGCTCCATCCGTGCAGTCACCCGCTGGCGATGCTAGAGATTTCCCTTTCTCTCCCTGTCCAAAGCTCCCCCGCTGAGCTCGTGTGACACTGGGCCACATCTAGACTCAGACTTTAGCAGCCTCTTCCTTTCAAAATCTATAAATGATTTCTTTTTTCCCTTCCTTGTGTGTGTGTGTGTGTGTGTGTGTGTGTGTGTGTGTGCGCGCACATGCGTAGGTACGTGCCAACATACAGCGTGAGTGTAGTTGTTTATAAACTTCCAGTTCATCCACTCACAGCGCTGCTTTCGTCCTCCTCAATTCTTCGGCCACCCCTCTAAATCCCCGTGTTAAATTTACACGATAAGTAAGTCTTGTCAGATCCCGCCAGCGTTCTGTTACTGTCCTAGGATCTACTATGTTCTATGGGTGTGCCGGCTGGAGAAGTAATAATACATTATTTTCTTCATGGAGAAAAGAATTACCTTTATTGAGAATATGCAATATTCCAGGATTTTTGATGTCATCTCTTGTCATCTTTACCTGAAACTATTAAGGAAGTTATTTAGCTTAATTCTACTTTTGACTAACCAGGGTCAGAAACAAGTTACTTTGAATAAGTTCAAGCAAATAATAACAGGCAGCAGTGTAGTTTGAGTTTAAGCCTCTGTACTGCTTCAACCGTGGGCTTTTTTTTAAACCCTGGCTTTTAAGCTACAGTCCTCCATGTTGTAAGCAGAAAGTCAATCTGCTTGAGGAAACCGTTTTCAAATATTTGTTAATTATATTTTCTTTACAAGCATTCTTCATAATCAGAGAGTTATTAGAGAGAATTGTAAGAGTATTTTCCTTTCCTTCCAGTTCAGTTTACCAAAGATGAAAACAGTTTTGCAAAGGAGGGAACAAAGACAAAATCATTGCAAAACCCACATCTATTAAACATTTTCTAGAGAGTTCTTCTCAAGAGTTTCCTAAGAGAAAAATTTTCTTAAGATTTTTCTTAGGAGTTCTTTAAGAGATCAGTATGCTACCTAGAAAGGAAAGCTAGCCTCTGTTAAAATTATCTTTTGTAATAACAGTGGTAAAATTCCTCCTTGGCACTTTTATGACAACAGAATGAATTTTTTCTTCTATTTTTATTTTCCATACCATAATCCCTAAAATGAGTAGCTATCAATATCACTGAAAATCACTGAAGTAATTATAGCAAACTGTACATTTACCTTCTAAAGCAAAATGAATCATTTTGTTATCACATTAAAAATATTATCACAATTTTACCACAATTCTCATCAATCTCATTGATAAGATTGCTTCTTATTACCTTGTAACCCTTGTTTTGCATTGACACGGTATTGCTCCATGCCTCTTCTGTTTCTATGCTCTGTTTCTGGCTCTGCAAACATTTCTCCCATTTCTGTAACCACCTTAAAGGAATTCTGGCAAGAACAAGTGGAGAAAGGATAGGAGATATATGACTCACTTCCGACCCTACAATTAACACATGAAGGGAGAACTCAGTGAAAACAGTAATTCCTCAGGGACATGTGGCTTTTCTTTTTAAGCCAACATACTTTCCCTCTGAGTTCATTAGCCACCATTTTGTAAATGAGTCTTCTGGTGGCTAGAATCAACTTTGTTTTAGCAAATTGGAATTCACACTGCTCTTATCATATAATTTAAAGGTATACTTTATATTTGATCTATGTGATTTTTAAAGAACCATTCCTATTGGCAAAAGTCCCAGGAAATCACTAAAAACCATTCCTTTGGTGAGCACAGCCCTTTAATATTTGATCTATGAATAAGGTGTTTACTTTATTTTATTTGTTTTTGTTAAAACAAGTATTTTACGAGCATGCTGAAAATGAGCTGTAAATTCTACTATCCTCTTCAGTAATTTTCAAGGACAGGAAAACACTGCTGAATGTGTTGTGATATTGTTGTGGTTGGTACTGGTGGACATTAAGAAAACAATGCCAGAGTAAATATTGCATAGGGAGGTTGAGCTTTGTATTGTGAGATTAGAGAGCATCAACTCAACAAAATGTTAGTATACATTATTAAATGTGAAAAGAACTTACTGTGAAACCATTTTTTTAGTTATATGTACATATATCTGTCTATAAATGGCTATCTGTGCATATGTGTTTGGAATATAACAGTGTATAATGTACATTTCTCTATGGATCACTGTAAGAATATTTGATAGCCACAGAAATAAATCAATAAGCTTTAAAAATATAGTTTTTTTCTCTATTGTTTTGGAGACTAGGATATGAAATGAAGAATCTGCTTTCTGTATGGCCACATTTAATGAACAAGTGAGAGATTACTGATCTAAGATTTTTGTGCTTAGTCAGATCTGTAGCAAATGTTCTGTTTTCTAAAAAATGAAGGTAACTATGGCATGGTTTCTCACACAAAAATCACAAAGTATCAACAAATTAAAGGACAAAATAAAAGACATATAGTAGGAAACAGGGAGGTAGATCTTTTGCAGAAGGAATGGGCATCAAGAGACTAAGGAAGGACGGAGATAAAATGGGGGAAAACGGTGCAAAAAGAGCCAAGATGGGTTCTGCACACGTGCGGACTCCCCAAGGTGAATGCAGTCACCTATTCAGTAAAAAGTATCATGGAAAAGAGGATTCCTTACTGATTTTTTGCTTTGTAAAAATTTTTTGCAATATTCGTAGTATTCTCCAACAAAAATACACAAATTAGAGGAAACCAAAAGATGTACATAGAAAGTTGGGCTATAGTGGCATTATATATGTGTGATATGTGCATACTTGTGCATATGAGGGGTGTGTTTGCATGTATATGTGTATGTTTGTATGTGCATGTGCGGTGTACTGTTAAAGGAAAATTGCATTGGGTACATTTGAACAACTGAGGAAGACAGGACTCCAGACTATTGCAACATGGACAAGAACTCGAATATAACTCCTCTGAAACAGTGGGGAGGAAAATTCCTAAGACCTGGGTGGGCTAGCGGAAAAGTGCCAGAGCATGCTCTGTGGAAGTTCTGTCCATGTGATCAGCCCATCTGTGCTTGCTAGTCGCTACCTAGAGAAATTAGTTTTCTATTCATTTATGGAGATTAAGAACAGGAGCTCTGTCTCTCCTGATGATGACCCAACTGTCAAGAGGCTAATAGAAGAGTTCTATCTGAAAGGGGCACAGAAAACATTTGTATTACAAATTTTGAAGAGTGATAATATAAAATAAAAGGGAGGTCAGTGTCTACAGTTAATGAGAAACTTGTTTAAAGTGTAAGTTTGTTCAAATTCATGTTTAGAGCATTGTGTACATGTGTATCTATATCTATGTCTAAATCTAACATCTCTTTCTCTTTGTCTCTCATTTCTGTCTATTTAATAGTGAGATTAAATGTTTTAACAGATAAACTTTTAAGTTACCCTTACTACTCATTGAATGTGTATATATTTCTATCTATCTATCTATCTATCTATCTATCATCTATCTATCATCTATCTATATTTCTACACACGTAGGTGGATATCATATATATATGAGAGAGAGACAGAGACAGTGATAGACTTTTAGTAACTGAAGTATAGAAATTACATCCAATAAGCTGCCATGCAGAGTGATATATGAAGAGGATGCGTGTAAGAATTTATCTGGCAGTGTCTGCAGGGAGAATAACTGCACACTGTCACGGCTTCCATGAGCATTGTGAAAATGACTTCAATGTTTGTTAGTCAGACTTCTAACAGTATAGCAGAATGCTACAATCAATTCACTGACAAAGAGCAAAAGCCCTTCTTTCTTTCTTCTTTGTTTCCTTCTCTGTTTCTCTTCCTTCCTTCCCTTCTTTCTTTTATCTTCTCTCTCTCTCTGTCTCTCCCTCCTTCCCTTCATCCCTCCTACCCCTTCTCTCTCTTTTTTGTTCCTTCATTATTACAGATTCCAGTTCCAGCATTCCGTTCTCTGGTGTGGGAGTCAGATGGAAACACCAGTGAGGACACGGAGCAGCAAACTTCTCCCCTTAAGCACAGGAAGCACAAGAGCACGAAGAAGAGGTCCAGCTCCTACGCTCACCTTGTGGTCACTGACACAAGGTCCTCCTGGTGGGCCCCACCTTCTAAGGCTTTCGCAGCTTCTCAGTAGAGCCACTTTGGAACCAAGGTTTGTCACATGACTTTTGGGAGACACTTATCCACAGTACAGCATTGTTAAACTCTTACATGAGAGAAATCATTCATACTTGCTTTTAATTGAGAACTCACTTATAGTTTGCAAACAATTATTTTTCCAAAAAAAAATCTGATGGTCATCAAAATTCTTCTATGCATTGCTCCAGAGATGATCTTGCAAATGCACAAGAAGCTGGCAGGGAGATTAATAAACAGTGGTTAGCAAAATTAGGTAAGAAATAGAAATTAAAGAAAATAATTCTAGTTGTTGAGGGCATATTAGTAGTCATTTTGAAATTATTAGAACAAATACCTAGGGAGAGATTACATTATGGAGCTCTGACTTTGCATACCTTAACTTTGAATAATCGTATAGAAGGCAGAAACAACTTTTTTCTATAAAATAAATTATGATAAACATAAAAATTCTGAGCAGAGAAAAACAGAAAAAAGAAGAAAGACAATCAAGTCCTGACCAGACGAGAGGTGCTACACATGGCAAAGTTGTATTTCTTCTTCTCGCACAAGAGGAGTTGGTTATAGTGGTCAATTGTTACTGTAGATTGTTTATAGCTTCTCATATACAATAAAGCTATTATTTCAGTGTGGCGTGTAATGCTAACTGAAGTTATATGCATTAAATACTTCTTAATTATAATTTTTTTTTGTTTTCCAGTAAATCTTGATGAAAATTCTTCTCAAATATGAGAATTCCCAACCAATCCCTCCATTTAACATTACAGTTTGCAGAATGAGCAACTTAGAAGTACTGAGAAAAATATTTTCTTGCAAGGTTTACTGTTCAATATGCAACCCTACAAAGAATATCTTTCACTTTACATGAGAATTATTTGTTCTAGTTTGTAAAACTCTTCATAATATATTTTATATCTATTTTTTCATAATAATTATTTGAGATATAGAAAATTAGTCTAAACATTTAAAAACCAGGATTCATTACTTTAAAAAGAAAAAAGTCTAAAAATAAAAAAATCAGGGAAAATATCAGGAGGTAGGGTATGCATATAATTAAAGTCTCATGTACAAAGAAAAGCAAAAGGAGAAAAAAAAGTATTTCAAAATATTGGATGTAAAACGTCAAAATGGTGAACATTAACCCATAATAGATCACACTCAATGCACCTCGATAATGTACATAGAAATATATCAACAAATCATAATCTAAGTGTTTAAAGCAGTGGTAAGTAGAAGATATTAAGAGCAGCCGGAGAAAAATGATACCTTTTATCATAGTAAAAGATGTGAATTGCAGTGGACCTGTTGCCAGAAGCAGTGTAGACAGAATAGGTATAAAACAGCGTCTTTAAAGTTCTGGAAGAAAACTCTCAATCTTGAATTCCGCATTGTGCAGCTGCTGCGTGAAGAAGTAACCGCCATGGGCCACAATGCCCTGCCTGCAAAACCAGCAAAGGGAACCCGGATACAAACATCAACACAAACATGTTCACTCAAGTGCAAACATGATTTAGAATGTGCACAACAGGGAAGTTTAAGAAACAGAAAGCAGAGAGGCTTCCCTTCCCTCACAGCATGAAGGCAGAATTCACATGCGCTTCAAGGTATATCGAGACCAGGAGTAACGACAGAACCCTGAGCACTGTCTAAGTAACCACGGGGGGGACCGCCCGTGGTTCGTGTTCTGCTTGGTATACCCTTAGTGAACATTTTGCGGCTCTGCTTTGGACTCTTTTTGACTATTTTTGCTTTTTCGTCTCTCCCGCTCCACAGCTGTTCCTGTTCTCCGGTGGCTTAGATCCCACACGGCGCTGAGCGCTGTTTCCTTGTTTCTTGCTTACCTGCGGCTACCACCAATAATTAGCAAACGCCTTATACCTTTACTTTGTGGGACGTTATTTACAGCCGCGTCACTTGAGTTTTATGGACCTTTTCCTAATCTTACTAATATTTTAATATGACATATATTCCAATGATAATATTTTGTGTGACTACATAAATGAAATGACTAAAATTAATTTCACCTGTGTTCCTATAGTTTTAATGTAGCTACTGTAAAATATAACATTGTATGTATTCAATATCATATGTATATTACATAGCATTAGGTTAGCAGGATAGCAAAAACACCTGGATAACAATATGATAAGAAATTACTGTAATCTTTATCTCAAATCATCACAAAAATAATTACAAGTACATCATGGACCTAGGCACAAATATTCAAAGCATATATAAAACTTTTAGAAGAAAACATAAGAAAATATCTTGGAACTAAAAAATAATATTTATATAAGATACAGTTTATGAGACACAAAATAAAAAATAAAAATTATAATACATCAAAATTTAAAAATTCTACTCAGGGGAAATTAAACCTAGTAAACCAACATGAGAGTAACATACTGGGAAAATATTTGCAATATGAATATCTGATCATTTGTATTCAGAATAAGCAAAGAATTCTTTGTGCTTTAAAAATTAAAAGATAACAGTGGGAAATAATTTTTTAAAAATATGTACAAGTAATCAACAAGTTTTATGCAGGCATGCTCTAAGTTGTCTTTAAGATGTACAAATTAAAGATGCCTCTGTACACACTATAACATTTAAAATTTTAAAGCCTAATAGTACCAGATCTTGACATGCAACCAGAGAAGTATAAATCCTCTCATATCTGTATTGGAACTGAAAAATGCATTTTTAAAAATACCCTAGCTGTTGCTTAAAAAGTTTAATATGAGTTTGCTACATGAACGAGTGTTAATACACAGAAGAATTTACCAGAGAAATGAAGTTTTAAATTCCGCATACAAACTGCACAGAAATTTTTGTATTCTTAAGTTCATTTAAATGGGTGCACAAATTGTACTTTAGTCATGCAGTGGAATGTCACAGCATGAAAATGACTGGATTTTGATTTCTTCAGTAGGTATGAATCTCAGAAAAACTAAGCAGAATATGAGAAGGTAGACACAAAGTAGTATGTACTTTATGTTTTCATTGACATAAATTCAGAGAAAAGGTGAAATGAATTTATAAGAACAGAAAGCACATCAAGGTGTAGAATGGAGAGTGAGTGCAAAGGGCAAAAATAATATTTTGGAGTGATAAGAAAATTTTCTATATTTGTGGTAATGTAGATTATATTAATGCTGACATTTGTCAACACTTACTGGAGTGGAGTCAAATATTAAATCAAATTTAATAAGTAGAGATGGTATACCACAAGCAGTTCTTTTAAAAATGTAGACAGGTAGATAAGAGACAAAGTGCATGAAATCTAACTCTACACGAAAGTTGTAAAATATCAATCAGTAGATGACTATAAATGACAATAATAAACTCACTCACAATAATGAATTCACTTAAAAGTTTTCTCTATGTGAAAGAAATAGATGTTTACCTGGATTTCAATGTTATACAACATATACATGCATGGAAACATCCCGTGGTATGCCAGACTATGTATTGTCATGTACCAGTTAAGAATAAGCTTAATTTAAAATTTAAAAATGAGAAAAATGTCATAAATCACATACCAAAGGGGGAAAAGTACGAGATTTCTTATAATTTTAAAAACAGAAATCCACATGAATTTCAGAATGTAGATTTTAGTTTAGTGGTGAGTTTTCTACTACTTAGGCTTTCATAAAAAATAATTATGCTCACTTTTGAGATGACAATTTTCAGTGAAGACATTTAAATATGAGTTGATTATCTCTCATCAGGTATATCGCACAAATGCCTTAGAGATGAAATTGCAGTAACTGATCATTAGGAAAATTCAATATTATTAGAATATATGATCTGGACAAGTACAGAAGGTTTTCTAAAATATATGGGTTAATATTTAATTTAGAGTGTCCAGTGCCACATAAGTGGGAAACAAAGGAGATCTGTGAAGAACCCAGTTTTTTAAGAAGCACATAATCTGGCAAAGATGACTGACAAAAAATAATGTAGCAATGTCCAAGCTGCTCCATAATAGGATATTCATAAAATTCTTATGACATTGAAGAAAGTGTACCATATTCTTGATGTATTATCTCATCCCCAAATATTTCAGTATTCACTGTAAAAATTAATTAAATCATTAATCATTTCTGAAGGAAAACTGCTAAAATATTTTGGAGATTATTCTAGAATGAAGTTATTTCTTACAGCATCTCCAGTAAAATTCCACAATATGTGTTTCCAAACCTAAACGGGTTTAGTGTGTGGGTTTTGACATCCAAGAAAAAATTTGAATGACGTAAACTATCCACTGTTTAAAACTTTCTGGGCTTCTGCACTTTTTTCCTGTAAGTATAAATAATTGACCACGAACTTTCAAAGACATATTTCACCTAAATTTCTCTGAGATTCATCAAATGTGACGATTGAAATTAACCCGTTTCCTCCGTTACCACTGTCCTTACTGTGCATTATTATACTTAGATATTGATGGAGATGGCGCAGCTCAATTTTAACTTAAAATTGAAGTAGAGGAATTAAACAAGGTCATGCTATCCCCTTATTCTCATATAGAGACTTTTTTTTGGATCAGGAATTGGTATAATGAAAATATTAAATTAAGTTTAATAATGAAATGAATCATTAGGATATTTAAAGAAAGTCATCTCATCTTCCATTTACCCTGAAGTACAAATTGCATATCTGAGATGCAGTTCAAATTTAAATCAAGACAAAGTGGTGACCTTTGTAGTTTTTGGCTTGAGCCTTTTCCTTAGTGGAGTGTTTCTCACTCAGCAGCACATCAGCGTCTGTAGGAGGGTATCCAGGTCAGTGAGACCTTGTACATCCGTGGCACTGCTCTGGAGGATAATTTCTTTTTCTCTTTTAATGTGGTGCTGGTGACTAAACACAGAGGTTTTCCACTGAGCTAAATCTCTAGCAATTTTAATTAATTTTTTTTGAGACAGCATCTCACTTAGTCACCAAATTGCCTCCTCTGAAGTCAAACTTGAAATTTTCCCGCCCCAGCCTCCCAGAACAAAGGTCGCGAAGTTCAAACTTGTAATACACATTGTCTCCTCTGCAGGAAAGGTCCTTCCCTACCTTGTCCTCCACTTACTGACTTCATTCTTCAAGGGAAAACATCTCAGTAGGCACACTTACCCTCACCGCAGGAGTCACAACTTTGTCTTTGCACCTGGACTCCTGGTAACCTGTTCAAATTTATTAGAATTTGGGTTTTTTATTGACTGGAGTCTCTGAAAATATGGACAATGCTTGCTTTTCAGAAGTTTGTGTTACCAGCATCTATTACAATACTAGGGACATATTAGATACTTTTTTGAAATCTGCTGAATAGCACCATTCATGAAAAGATAAACTCAGGAATCATATTTAATGCATTGAAAACATTTCATTAGTATGTACATTTACATGTCCGTCCCTTGCCTCATTTATAAAGCTTAGAATTACACTTATTTTATTGGAAAGAATATGGGCTGTACATTGAGTATGTTGCAATAATTTGTATAAAAATTCCTATAACTGGGTAAGCACTATGGCAAAGAGATAAAAATATTGAAAGGTATCATTTTATTTTTAACTCATTATACTCTCTTGTTTACTGTATTTGACATTATATGTGTGCACCAACAAATACATACACTCTCACCAGCATGGCATCACCTGCATTATTATAATATATACTTCCTTCCCAATTCCCTTAATGTCTGCATCTGACAAGGTTTTATTGAATTGCATTGTTTTAAAACACTTCACCAATTTGTTGGGGTCATATTGTGGTCATGTTGAATTTTGATCTTTGCAAAGTGTTAATCAGTCTTTCTTAATAAAGAGAACTGTAAATTACTAAATTCACAGACTTTTCTATCACCCAAGTCATTGATGAAAGTAACAAATAGCCTCTGGCCCACAGCTGACCTCTGCATAATAAAACTTCTGTCCACCTTGGTAACAAAGAATAATTAATGACTTAGATGGTTCTACCGAGTTTCTGTCAAACAGGTCTGTGGTGCTGACCCATCTGTATCAATCTCTGAATGAATCCAATTACTAATGCTTTTATAATATTAATATATAACATGATTTGAAATTATGGATGAAAAGTTCTAACATTAATGAATGCTGTTTATCAAAATAGATTAAATGATGAGTAAAAAGTAAGCATTTAATCTCTTTTCATATTTCTTTTTTTTCTTATACTGTCCCATTGTCTCATTGTCTTCCTGTCTGAATATGGAAGCTTCATGCAATATCCCCTCCAGCAGCTATGTCGTGGCGAAGGCTCTGGGACTGTGACAGGTATAGTCGGTGATGGATAATCAAAGACTTGCTTGCGTGTTCTTAACCGCAAGTCTGTCCCCTGGAAAATGAAATTGTTTTCCTTCTTGCTTGCTTGTGGGTGCTTTTTTCTTTAAATGAACAAGATGAATAATAAACAACAACAAATGAGCAAGTCGCTGTCTTGTCTGTCTGTATAGTTACCTGTTTACACTTCTGCTGCTCCTCCCTTCCTCTCCAGGCTGCGCACACTTAGGAATAAACCAATTAAATGCTCAGGGTCGGGGCTGGGGATTTAGCTCAGCTGCAAAGTGCCTGCTTGGCAAGCGCAAGGTCGTGAGTTGGTTCCCAGTACTGGAGAAAAACCAAAAAAAAAAAAAAAAAATGCTCAGGGTCTAATATGAACGGTAGTTCCAGGGTAGTCAACGGAGGGACAGCTAAAGGTGGAGAACTTCTGAATTCTAAGAACAATCTGCTTAGAATGAAATGGGTGAGTAATCAAAGACGCTCACCAGCACCTGCATAACTTTAAAATTCTGCATCAGCAGTGTCCTTCCACGCATGCTGAAATGTGTAGGTCTATGAAACACGCTTTCTGATAGAAGAGTTTATTAATCTCCACTGTCATGGCGTCATGGCATCCACTGCTTCTGAAGAATTTTTACCAGTCTTTTTTGGTACTGGGTATTGAATGCAACACCTTCTCATTGAGCTACATCCTCAGCACTTTTCAAAGTATTAAAGTTTAAAATTGAACGCAGAATCTCACTGGGTTGTATAGGCAGGACTCAAACCTGCAGTCTCTCTTCCTCTGCCTCTCAAAGTGTGCTCAACCTGTCCAACTGTTTTTTTTTTGGTACTGGAAATCAAACTCAGGACCTCACATTTGCCAGGCAGGCACTGTGCCACTAAGCTATATTCCCCCTCACCATGTCCAACTTCATCCCTAACTGTAACAGAATCGGTCTCAGGAAGTCAAGAGATTCTGAAGGAAAAATAAGAAGTAATAAAAGTTATTTGTATTTTCTAGTGTGTTTGGAAAAATGCATAAAAATTGGTTTATTTTCATTTTTCAATCTGACCTATATTTCAAGTTATTTTACATGGCTTATAGAGGAATATTTTAAAAAAATTAAATAATGAGATAAGATGCACACATATATGTATAGCATTAACATTAATTTAAATCAGAGAGAATGTATCTTCCCATGATTTCCAAACCTTTAATGACGAAGACTAAGCTTAGGTCTTCCTAAGTCTTTTGTAGGTGCCGTTTTTAACATGTTCTCTAAAAATTGTATCACTTCTAAATATATGTAGGTTCTTTTGATAAACAACAGATGCCTCATTGAATATTGGCAGTGAAGTCCAACCATCATGACCTAAAATGGTACAATAATGGAAACTGCAACTGTTTTTACTGCTCATATTTGAAAAGATGTTTTAATAATGCTTCACTTTATTGAACTTATTCTCTGAGTTGATTATCTCTTTCATTCGTGTGGAATTTTTTCTTTTCTATTCTTCAAACTGGCTTTATATACAAGTATTACTTCTTTTCTTTTGTGCTAGAAAATAACATGATGATAAAGCTTATTTTCACAAATATTGAATACCTTAATATTAAGAGTACTTTAATACAAGTAATTTAACTTGAGGACTGCATCCTTTCTTTTAGGAAGGCTAAAAATAAATACAATTTTTAGCAGAAAGTTAAAATACATTATATTTTGAAGTGAGTTCTGAAAAGTTGATTCCAGTGAATTGACAAATGTTTTTAAAATCTAGTAAGAAGAATTCTCAAATTGTGATGACCATCAATTAAAGATGTGAAATGAATTCCTGTTATTTTTAGATATAATGAAGAACAAGAAGAGCTGTGCATAACCTGCATGTTGTCTAAGAATAATTAGCTCGTTAACTACACTCTGCGGGCCCAACCTCACCTCGAGATTCCGACTGCAGAATGCACAGCACAGCATGGTGAGCTCACTGCACAGTACAGGCTTTCCTGAGACAAGTATGATTTCGGCATCAGCACTCACACTGCCGGGAATCTTGTCAGTGCTGTGGCGTGCAGTGAATTGTGCTGTGAGAGACCACAGAAATCAGGGAATGCGCTGACCAATCACGTGTCAGAGGACTTAAGCGGGACCACATCAGAATTCTGGCGCAAAATTCAGTCATGAAAACAAGAATTCCGCTTTGGAATAAACAGCAAAGTAAGAAGGTCATGTTTATAGTAGGGCCACTTCTCAACTGTCTCAAGTCACCTTGCTGATTACGTGCTGTGAGTCTGCGTGCACACCCACACCCACAGCGCGTGAGCCGATATGCCGCGATGAGCTCGTCGTGTTTTATACTCTCCTGCGCTGCACTCCCATTTGCCAACTCCTGCAGTAGTAACAGGTATCACGGATTGTATATGATGTTGTCAAACCACATGGAAATATTTTTACAATATTCAAATTGACATGTCTACAATATGAGATTGCTTTGTATGTTTTACTTTCACATACAGGGCATCAGGTGAAATAGATAATTCTGGAAAAATTTCACCACCTACATAATTAGCTCTTTTAGTTAAGATATGACATTATATCTTTATAAGCAGTTTATTTGTGTCTCCTGTATAGAAAGACCTTCTGGACCTCACCACGGTCCAGAAAAGTCCACATTTGTAATCCCATGGAAAAGTCACTGGAATTCTAATAATCCCAGTCTACCGCTTCCAGTGCAATGCAGGGTGCAAATGTTTGTGGTTGTGGGGAGCCAAGGGGGCCCGAAAGTCCAATCAGAATAATGACTGAGGGGAACAAAGACCTTGACCCAGAGCTGAACCTGGGTCGTGTTAATTCTTGAAGAGGGGAGTGGCTCGGGGTGTGTCACAGGGTGGCGGGAAGTACTAAGTACTAAGTGAGCTGGGCTGGGTAGGAGGCCTGAAGTCGCCTCTGTCATATGCACAGAGACACGTACAGAGGGTGACCTGCGTACCACAGATTGGGGCAGAATCTAGTGCCTTGGGGTTGGTGCTTCAGTTTTGACGTGTGATCGTGCCCCGAGAAGTCATAGCCTCTTTTCTCAAGGCTCGTTCTCAGCCCGCGGCGTGCTCTCTCAGTCTAGCTCACACAGCTGGCTGAGGGCTGTAGACAGGGCGTCACTGACCTGTTGCACTGCTTCGAATTCTACACATCAGCACCTTGGCTAGACCCATTCGCATTGCGTGAAACCAAGTGAGGGGATAAAGAAACGTCCTGGACAGCTCTGTCCACGCCAGTGCATGGAGGCGGGCCCGAATGCTCTTTCGGGCGGTCCCCCACAGGCAACAGTGATGTAGCAGGGATTTGAGCGCGGGCTCCTAACTGTGTACATCTCTAACTGGTTGTTCTGTCATCTTTTCCCTAAATGTAACATGAGCCCAAGAAAATTTTTAGCCTAATTTTCAACCTTCTGCTATTTTATCTACTCATTTAGTACTTATGTAGTTCACCTACTTTTTAACATTATTTTTATATTTGACTCATTTACATGTATGCAAATTGCTCATTTCTGAGTTAAACACTAGTCAGTCTGTCCTATTTATTGATTTATCTCAGTGATACTAGTGATTTAACCTGGACACTTTGCTCACCAGCTCCTTTTATTGTTTATTTTGAGACGGGTCTCACCGAGTTGCTGAGTTACCCTTTGCGGAGTTGACTAGGATTCTCCTGCCTGAGCAATCTTGTGCTACCTTGCTCAGTTCATCTTGTTTCATGTTAGTAAGGTTGGTTGACTTATTGTTTGTCCAGTCACTTTTTACCTGTTGCTACACTTTGGTCACTAAGATTGCGTGTTCAGACTGGAGGGAGAGATTCCTAACATCAGCTCAGTCTTTCCTATTGACTGACCCCACCACTTCCTCCCTTCCTCCCTCCCTTCCTTCCTTCCTTCCTCCCTTCCTCCCTCCCTCCCTCC